CTCCAAAATAGAATGGTGGAGTGTTTTTTAGCCCACAAGGTATTTATTTAATGTTTATTTGGAGCCAGAACTAAACCCCACGTTGGGGTTTATTGGGTAGAGTGTAAGATGGGAAAACAAGAAAGTTCCAGAGAGCTAGTTCACAATAGGACACATGAGCCACGTGGGAAGACATTGCCAAACCACTGAAAACCAGTGTGTGTTTCAAGGCCCCTCTTGGAAGAGCTCCAGCCTAACTCTGCCTCTTTCCTTGGGTCCCTCACACCCTAATGACATGGAAGTGTTCCCCGGCCCCAGAACTGAGGTGAGCCTTACTCACTAGGCCTCTGCTCACCTTTCCCCCATCTCTTGGAACCCTGCCTTCCTCAAAGCCCTGCCTAGACCTCTCTTCTCCTCCCTTCCTGTCTTCATTCTGCCCTGGGTTCTTATGCACGTCTCAGCTACCAGATCATGGACTCCAGAAGGCAAGAGCTGTGCCTTGTTCATCTTAGTGTGTACTTAATGTTAGCTGAATGAAAATAACTGAGTTCAGGAGCATTTTATTTGTTATAAATTAAGTAAAAGGCATTAGACAGTCCGGGGCCTTTGGCACTGAGGGAGTTTTAGGTTACTTCTTTGTAGGTGAAACTTAGCTCTCACTATCCTCTTACTTATTTATTTGTTCGGTTATTTATTTTTAAAATGTATTTTTATTGATTTCAAAGAAGAGGGAGAGGGAGAGAGAGATAGAAACATCAATGAGAAACATTGATCGGCTGCCTCCTGCATGCTCCCCACTGGAGACCAAGCCTCCACGACCCCCACTGGGGACGAGCCCGGAACCTGAGCATGTGCCCTTGACCAGAATCAAACCTGGGACCCGGACCCTTTAGTCTGCAGGCCGACGCTCTATCCGCTGAACCAAACCAGCTAGGGCTCACTATCCTTTTAAATAACTACTTGACCCACTTAAGAATTAGTTAATGTTCTGTGAGTGGAAAAGAAGATTGCTGTTGTTGACTTCTTATTTGTGACTCAGAGAAAAAGCTGAGGATCCTCATTCAGACCAGTCAGGGTGGTTCTTAGTCACAAGACTCTCTGCATGTGTCCTACAAAGGGGGTTTCCCAAGAAGGACTTCTCTGAGGCCTAGGAATAAAGAAATGAGCAGAAGTAGTTATCCCGGTCACTCACAGTGCCCGTGTCAGTGTCCTCCCAGAGTGGGGCTCATTCAACCACACACTGATGAAACACCTTCCATTTGTCAGGGGCTATACCAGGTTTTAGGGGTGCATCACTAAACAAGGTAGAACTGGATCTTTCCCTCCAAGGTTTATCATTTTTGTCTTTGGAGACAGACAGCCTTGGATTCAGAGTCGGGCTCAGCACTGAGTGGAGGCTTTCTCCAGCTGCACACTATCAGTACTCCTCCCTCACAGGGTGGTCTTGAGGTGGAACGAGGAGGAGAGGGTGTGGCTTTTCTTAGCCAGGATCCTTAGCTGAGCCATAGGTCACAGAAATTGATTGTTTTCTCCATTCTCTGAAGGATGGAATATAACCAGGATGGTTCAAGATGCACAGGAGAGAAGTCAAGTCATTGGAGACAGTGGATGCCTTAGGGTAGTGAGGCTTAATTCTCTTGAGGAACCAGGTTGAAAGAGGCTAGTAGAACTTTCTTTTGGATGGCTTGACACAGTGGCCAGTTATCCTGGTGTGGTAAGCCTGGCACATAGTAGACACTAAGTAAATGTCAGCTCCCTTCCTCAGTCCTTCCTCCTCCCTCCCTCTATCTCTAGGCCTCAGCTTCTCTTGAAGCCACCCACAACTTTCAGAAGAGCTCAGATCTCCTCAGATGGGAAGTAGTATCCTTGTCTCGGAGAGTGTTGCTGTTCCAGGCTTCTCTTCCCAGGCAAGGTGTTTCTCGGCCCCAGGCTACTGTGCCTCCTAGAGAAAGCAGAGGGTCTACAATGTGCAGCACTTATTCTCAGATATTACTTGAGCTTCTGCACTACACAAGCACTAGGAAGCCAGAGTATGAACTAGATACCTGGCTGCAGAATTTACAGCCTGTTAATGGAGACAGGATTTGTTTATGGTGACCCTATTGTCTTTTTCCATATAGAAAAATTAGGGGGTTCCGTGGGGCCTATTAAATGTTAAGATTGTGTTTAAAAATCCAACCTGTGGAAGCTTCCTCGTAGAGGTGAGGCTGGGCTGGAAAGACAGGAGCATCTGGATGAGTAGTGAGGGATGGGGTGAGATGTGCAGACGGGAACCTAGGTGAGGCCTGTACAGGGTCCTTGACAGAGTCCAGCGGCATTCTGCTTACTCTTCACAGCTGTTTCTCCCAAAACCCAGGCATTGTGTTGAGCTGAACTCGAGCTCCATACCTATATGTATGGAGAAGGGGGAGTGTGTAGGAGCTCTGCTGGGTGAGGGGCAGGATGAAGACAGACTGGCCTCAAGTCAACAGAAAGGCTGCTTGGTAGAAGAGGGTGGCTGGGAGCCCTGTGCAGGTCGTAGGCCCAAAGGGCTGGCCTTGACAGAAATCAGATGGGAAAGGGAAGATTAAAGTGTTAGGATATCTGAAGCTGTTTTTTTTTTGTTTTTTTTTAATATATATATATATATATATATTTTTTTTTAATTGATTTTTCACAGAGAGGAAGAGAGAGGGATAGAGAGTTAGAAACATCGATGAGAGAGAATCATTGATCAGCTGCCTCTTGCACACTCCCTACTGGGGATGTGCCCACAACCAAGGTACATGCCCTTGCCCGGAATCGAACCCGGGACCCTTCAGTCGGCAGACCGACGCTCTACCACTGAGCCAAACCAGTCCCCTGAAGCTGGTTTGGGTCGGTGGGTAGAGCGTCGGTCTGTGGACTGGGAGGTCCCGGGTTCGATTCTGGTCGGGGGGCTGAGGGTATGTGTGCCTTGGTTGTGGGCACATTTCTGGTGGAGAGTGTGCGGGCGACTGGTTGTTTCTCTCTCATCGATGTTTCTGGCTCTCTATCTCTCTCCCTTCCTTTCTGTAAAAAAATCAATAAAATATATATATTTAAAAATGTTAGGACAAACTGTGTTCTGAGGATCTTTTTGTTTTTTGGTTTTTTTAAAAGAATCGAGAGAAAAAATAACCAAAAGCATTTCCCTGGCCTTTTATCTGAGCCCTTTATATTTCTTTACTAGGTGTACCTGTTAATAATGGTAGATTTTATAGTCAAAGGAAACAATAATTTCAAGAGAAACACAAAAAGTACTTTATTCAAAGTAATTTCCATCACTAGCTAAACATTTCCCCATCTTTCAGGTAATGTGTGGATACCGTCCCAATAGAACTTTTCTTGTTTTGAGGCAAACCATTTAGAGACCCAATTTTGTGCTTCTTTGTACATTTTTGAAGTGCTGCTCAGAAAGTGTGTGTGCCATCGATTGGAACAAATGGTAATCTGAAGGAGCAAGGTCTGGTGAACACGGCGGGTGGGTTAATACTTCCCAGGCAAGATCTTTTAACTTGTATTTAACCGGTTTTGAAGTGTGTGATGGTGCATCATCATGAAGCAAAATTACTTTCCGTGTCTTCTGGCACATTCTGGTAGTTTCACGATCAAAGTGTGGTTCAAATTAATTATTTGTCAGTAGCAATCAGTATTAATGCTTTCACCTGGTTTTAGAAGCTCGTAATACACCACACCTTCCTGATCCCACCAATCGCAGAGCATTGTCTTCTTTCTGAAGCGATTTGGCCTTGCAATTGATGTTGATGGTTGACCTGGATCAACCCATGATTTGTGCGCTTGGGATTCTCAAAATAAATCAATCCACTTTTCATCGCCAGTCACAATTTGATGCAAAAAGGACTTACTTTCATGCCATTGAAACAACATTTTGCTGATGACTTTTCGGTTTTCCATTTGTCCTTCGTTCAGTTGATGTGGCACCCATTTTCCTTCCTTTAAAATCTTTCCCATTGCTTGTAAATGATCAGAAATTGTTTGCTGAACAACGTTTAATCTTTCTGCAAGTTGTTAAGTTTGACATGCATCTTCATCCAATAATGCTTATAATTGTTGGTCTTCAAACTTTTTTGGTTGACCTGGATATTCTTTGTCTTTCACGTCGAAATCATCACTTTTAAAGCATTTAAACCAGCGTTCACAGGTATCTTGAGATGGGGCATGTTCACCATAAGCTTCCCAAAGTATATGATAACTTTTCCTTCAAAATAAAGTAATGATTTAAATTCCCTCAAATATCTTTTTCTTTTTCTTTTTTTTTGGGGGGGGGGGCATGAAATTCGACATTTTTAAGTGTAAAAATATCTATGATGTTGACACCTTCAGCAAATTTGATATATGAAGTTTTGAAGCTTGTTATCAATACAACAAAATAGCATACATATCAAATGGCATATATATCAACAAATGTGAACTCCATTTATTGGAAAAAATCCGCATTATTAGCTAGTACACCTAAGCATGCTTGATTTAATCAGTCAGCACTGGCACTGACAGCATGCTTTTATTCTAAGACCTGGAGCTGTCCTTTTAAAAATAAGAGGAATAAAAAAATAAAACATTACAGAAAGATTATAAAGTGAAAAATCTCCCCCATACCACCTATTTACCCCCACCCTCACCATAAAACCCTACTCCCTGAAGGTAAATACCAGGAACCATTATGAATCTGTGAAGGGCACCAACAATAACACATTTCGTATTGATTCCCAGGCCTCTGTGTATAGCTTGCTTTATATCTTCTGGAAAGTCATCTGGGCTGAACCCCTCCTTTTCCAGAAAGAGGAAAAGGATTGCAGCTCTATGTGGCAGGGGCCAGGCACAGGAGTCTTCTTAAGAGGCTGTTTGGAGCACTAGGAAGGGCCATCATCGGCCTCACTTAGTCGGGGCATGTTCACCATAACAGGATTGCCTGCCGGCCTGTATGGTTATGTCCATTCTCCTTCTCCTCAACATCTAATGGCTCTTTTTTTTTTTTTTTTTTTTTTTTTTTACCTCCTTAGGATCCCTCTGTGACCCAGCTGACCAATGCTCCACAAGGTGGTCTGGCTGAATTTAACCCCTTCTCAGAGGTTGGTGAGCATGTCCTCCTTATGAGTCCCTGGGTCCTCTGGGTGGTGCTGGGACTCTGGGCAAGGAGCCTCGGCAAGACTGAGTGTTCTGAGAATCTGCAAGTTTTCAAAGGGACAATCCTTTTGTGTTGTTGTTTTAAATATGTTTTATTTATTTTAGAGAGAGAGGAAGGGAGAGGGAAAGAGAGATGGAAACGTCAATGATGAGAAACGAACATTTGATTGGCTGCCTCTTGTGCACTCCCTACTGGGGATTGAGTCTGAAACCCGGGCATGTGCCCTGACTGGGAATCAAACTGTGACATCTGGTTCATGGTTTGATGATGCTCAACCACTGAGCCACAGAGGCCAGGCTCAAAGGGACAGTCTTTTTTTTTCTTTTTCTTTTTTCTTCTTCTTCTTACTATAAATATATCTTTATTGATTTCAGAGAGGAAGGGAGAGGGAGAGAGAGATAGAAACATCAATGATGAGAGGGAATCATTGATCAGCTGCCTCCTGCACACCCCCAATGAGGGATCGAGCCTGCAACCCAGGCATGTTCCCTTGATGGGAATCGAACCTCTGACTCTTGTCCACAGGCTGACACTCTGTCAGCTGAGCCAAACCAGCTAGGGCTCAAAGGGCAGTCTTAATGTTAACTTGAGGGGAGGGGGTAATATGAGGAAGCCACCAATTCTCCTCTTAGGGTCCATGATCTGGGCTCCTCCTGAAGAAGGCAGGGCAGTTCCAGGAGCTCTGGACCAAAAAAGGCCAGGTTAGGCATCACACTGCTCCGAGCCTGAGGCTTGTTGGCTGAAAAGCAACAGAGGGAGGCCCAGAGGGAGTACTCCTCATAGGCTGGGGCATATCACCCTCCCTGTTGTGGGTTTGCCTTCCACATGGCCAACTAATGGCGTTCCACTCACCTCACTCCTTTAATCTGTCCCAACCAGACAAATGCAGCAACAACGGTTCCTGTCACCCAGCTCCCTGGGCCCTCGCAGCCAGCAGTTCTCCAGCCCTCAGTGGAACCAACCCAGCCAACCCCCCAGGTACTGTTGACAAAGATCCCTTTTTGCCTCTCCTTTCCAGAAAGGGAAGCACCCAGACTAGTAGCTGACTCCTGATATCAGGGTGGGCAGGGGATCTTATTCTCTGGCTTCCCTTTAAGGGCCCTCTTAATAATCTCTTTAGAGTTTGTCACTTGCATGTGGAGGGTCTGCTCTCATAAACCCTCACCCCCCCACCTCACTGTCAGCACCAAAAAATAAGCCCTACTCACCAGGCTGGGCTTCTGGGTGTCTTCAGAAAGAGCATTGTCCCTCATGCCATTCCAGATCCACCTGAGGCCTTTTTTTACTCAAGGCCCGAAAAACATCTTTTTTCCCCTTTATTTATTTATTTATTTTTTTTCCTAACCTTATTTATTCCTGCCTTCCTTCTTCTTTTTCTTGGTTCCTTCACCAAATACCATGAATCCTGTCTGTTTGGTACCCAACCCTCCATTCCTTGCATCATTGTTTACCCCATGCTCCTCATTGCCCCTGGCGAGCAGTGGAGTTGTATGTTGCAGCTCCTCCTTAGACAGGCCAGCAAGTTCCTGCCTACCAGTTTCCTGACAGTGAGCGAGCTCTCAGAGAGGCAGATGCTACTAGGAGGAGATAGTATTCTCAGAGACAGCTACATGTGAAAGCTTCCAAAGGTGGGCAAGGTATAGATGAGCGTGAGTGAGGGCAAGGTGCCTGGACTCTAGTGGGCCCCAGGCTGCTCCTGTCATTTGACCAGACTTACTCTGAAAGTGCTGCCCCTGCATGGAATCCTGGGACCCTGGGGTCCTGGGCCCCACTTACCTCCTTAGCTCTTTGGAGAACTCATTTTGGAGAGATAGAGAACACACATACATATGTACACAAATGCCTGGCTTATCATTCTGTGAGATGACCAGTTTGGTATTTGCTCCCTAAAAAGGACTGTAGAATTCTTGAGGAACTGGGCTTTGGGCTGGAACTCTGGACCCAGCTCTGCTTAGCCTCCCATAGAATCCTCTAGCTGCTTCCCTCAGAGGCGTTGCTTTACCCTGGAGAGGGGTAAAGCTTGGACTCTCACATCATCAAAGCCAGGCAAAGTAAGGCCAACCCAAAGGGCAGTACTGGGATGTAGCCAGTAACAGTTCTGGTGGACCTGGGAGCAGTTCCTGGGAATGGAGCAGGTGCAGGTGCTTGAATATACATCCCTCTGGTTCCAGGTACATAGACTATGGCCTCAAATGCTTCCCCATCCCACTCACTCTAGCAAGTTTGCACTGTTTCCCTTCACACACACACACCCCCTCCAGGCTTTTCAAGTGAGGCTTAGGTCTCTGGCTTTCTGACTACAAGACAGTCTGTTATGATGCCTTTTGCCATTTGTTATCACCCCAAAGGTCAATATAATTGAACTTGGCCTGGACTACAGTATGGAGGATGGTTCTCCTATCTCAAGTTTCAGAATGAAGAGGAGAGGAGAACCCTGATAATGGGAAAGGGGCCACAGATATGTTTTAAGAGCAGTAGGCCTCTCATTGGTGGTCTCAGATGCTCAAGACATTGGAGGGGGTGGGACTTCTCTTGGAACTCCCAGCTGGCTCTCCCTGCATGGGGCATGGGCCCTGTGATTTCCTGTCAGGCCAACAATGTTCCTCTGTCTCTTGTGTTTGGTTGCCTTCCACTTCCCTTTTCGCTCCAGGCTGTGGCCTCTGCAGCCCAGGCAAGCCTACTCCGGCAGCAGGAAGAACTGGACAGGAAAGCAGCCGAGCTAGAACGAAAGGAGCGGGAATTGCAGAACACTGTGGCCAACTTACACGGTAAGGGAGGCCACATTAGGTCCTGGGTTCCCCTTCTTGGTGCAGGAGAGTTCCCTCAGCCTGCTTGTTCCTGGGGCAGCTGCAGCTCTTTGCTGAGTTCCTGGTCATCTTATTATAGAATGGTGTTGGTCCTGGGGAGACCAGTAAGTGGGTGGCAGGAAGCCTGTAGTGTAACCTTAATGGGTGTATTCCTTTCCAGCTGTAAAACTATTTGATAAGAGTGGGGCATTGGCCCCACGACTCCTTGGTTATAGGTTGTTCAAAAAAAAATAATCACTTAGGCCAGTGGTCAGCAAACCGCGGCCCCTTGAGTGTGGCTCTTCCACAAAATACCATGTGCGGGCGTGCATGTACAGTGTGATTGAAACTTCGTGGCCCATGCGCAAAGGTTGATATTCGGCTCTCAAAAGAAATTTCAATTGTTGTACTGTTGATATTTGGCTCTGTTGACTAATGAGTTTGCCAACCACTGACTTAGGCTGTTTAGCTCTGTGTTTCCCAGTACATTTGGGGTCCATTATATTGTACTGAGAGCGTGAGTGTTTATGTCCCATCATCCTTTTCCCTTCCCACTTTATATCCATGAATACCTTGAACCCCACTTGTTGATACCCCTTTGTGGATCCTGAAATGGCCCATAAGCTGGTCCTCATCTTATTATCTCCTTCTACACAGTGAGAGAGAACAATTGGCCGCCTCTGCCCTTGTGGTGCCCTGTCAAGCCCTGTTTCTATCAGGACTTCTCCACAGAGATCCCTGCTGACTACCAGCGAATATGCAAGATGCTCTACTATCTCTGGATGTGTGAGTCCAGCTCCCGTAGTTGGGCTAGGGTGGGGATCTTTGCCCACATAATTGGCTCTCTGAAGACTGCTTCCTGTCATAGGAACCTCCTCTCAAGGGCGAGTCCAGACCATGAATCAAGTAGGGTGAGACTAGCTGGAGACTTCTGAGTTGGAGCTCATTACACTAAAAGGTTCTCCTTAGGTGGAAGCTTCCCCTCCCACAGGTTCCTGGGCTCCTAGGAGTGAGGATAAAAGACTCCCTGTTGCTAACCTGTGGACCATTCAGGGCCAGGGAAAAGAGTTGCTTAGAGAAGGATTCCATTCCCCAAGTACTCCATTCCCCTTAGATACCTGGGCTGTCCCATCACCTCTTAGGAGCTTGGTTTGGTTCCTGGTTTTGAGGTCCCAGAAAAGCAAGGACCGGGAGCTAGCCCTGCTTGGGTACAGATCGAGGTCCTTGACTTTTGCTGCAGCTGCCCTGACAGCATGGACCTCATCTCCCCTCTAAGGATAGTTTGCCATATCCAGGAGCCCTCAGCCACCTTGGCACCAGCCCACATCTGTCTCCCCATCTTCCACAGTGCATTCAGTGACTCTGTTTCTGAACCTGCTTGCCTGCCTGGCCTGGTTCTTAGTCGACAGCAGCAAGGGAGTAGACTTCGGCCTCTCAATCCTGTGGTTTGTGATCTTCACCCCCTGTGCCTTCCTTTGTTGGTACCGACCCATCTATAAGGCCTTCAGGTGAGTGGGGCTGGGACAAGGGGGGAGTATATGGCTAGCATCTCAGGTAGCAAGCCAAGGCCATGAGCCCTAGGATCCCATTCCAGTCAGAGCAGAATAGATAATGGGAAATTCACTTCCCATTCCCACCCACAGCCAGAGTTGGCAGGGATCAGGGGTCATCTTGGGCCAGGAAAGAGACCTAGAGAGGGAAGCAGGAGCCTTACTTGCCCTTCCACTGCCCAGTCTGTTTGGTGCAGGAGGATTTCTGGTACTAGGAAGAGGGAAGGAACTTCCTCAGCTCCCTTCCAAGGTTCTAGGGCAGCGATTTTCAACCGGTGTGCTGTAAGAATTAAAAAACATGCAGTACTTGACTATTTAGTCATGGACACTGACCTCACTTCCCTTAGCTTGTCAAATAAAAAAAATGGCAGCAGCAAACACAGTAGCTGTCAGTGTGAATGAATCAAAAGTATACCTATTTTTTTGTCAGATTTGCAGAAGATACATTTTGTTGTGCCACAGAATTTTAGTAGTTTATGGGTGCCATGAGATGAAAAAGGTTGAAAATTATTGCTCTAGGGCAGCGGTCGGCAAACCACAGCTCAAGAGCCACATGCAGCTCTGTGGCCCCTTGAGGGTGGCTCTTCCACAAAATACCACATGCGGTCGGTCATGCACATACAGTGGGATTGAAACTTTGTGGCCCATGCGCAGAAGTCGGTTTTTGGCTCTCAAAAGAAATTTCAGTTGTTGTACTATTGATACTTGGCTCTGTTCACTGATAAGTTTGCCAACCACTGCTCTAGGGTATTCTTTGATAGAGTCAGACTCTGAGATACGCTTTTAATAGCTTATTCTTCAATGCTTACTTATGCCCCTTCCCCTACTTTCCTAGTAACTATGGAGCATCGCTGAATGCCAATATTTGATCAGCTGACCTAGAATAGATTCTGTGGACTTTAATGGTTCCACTTTACAGACCCTTAGGGCTTTTGGAATTGTGCCTCAGAGTTGATGCTTTTTAGGATTGGGATGCACTGAGCAGAGTGGACTTGAACCCTCACTGTATTCTAGCCCTCAGGACAGGAAATGGAGGTGCTCAAAACACCAGTTTTATCTAGTGTCTTCTACTTCCCAAATATCTTTCTGTCACTCAGGCCTACAGTTTTATTATTAGAGGTTTATACCTTTGGCTTAGATTTTCTTCCCTGTTACAAAATGCAGATAAGTACTCCAGGAGATGGACTGTTACACTCTTTATATTGTCCTTTGGTTAAGCAACTTTACTAGCTCTTTGAGGAAGGGATCAAGCATTTTCCCCTTAAATTGGAAGGCAGTGAAAGGCAAGCCTTTTCTGATTATAGTTTGTGGGTCTTTGTAGACAGTGCTCTGTTTACTCTTCTATTCTGCCTCATGGCTTCTAGTGAGGTGGAATGTCAGACCATGTGGAATGAGTCCCAAGCCCTTTTATGACTTCTGGTTTTCTCCTTCTCTCCACAGGTCTGACAACTCTTTCAGCTTCTTCGTGTTCTTCTTTGTATTTTTTTGTCAAATAGGGATCTATGTCATCCAGTTGGTCGGCATCCCTAACCTGGGAGACAGGTGAGAGATCTGGGGCATTACAGAGGGAACTATGCTTTGGAATCTCAACTCGGCCTCTCTCGCCCTATTTGCCAGACTCTGAGGGCTCCTCTTCCACCATAGCAGGAAGTGGTAACTGGGCCAGCTAGTATCTGTCTTCAAGCCCCCTCTCCAATTCTTTACCAGTAGCCACTCACTGTCTTGCCTTGTTCACTTTCTGGAGTGTTGTGGGTGGACATGGCCTGAATCCTTAGGCTACCTGGCTGTGTCCTCCATGGATTACAGCCTCTTTTTCTCTTGTCACACCCTCCTAGAAGCTGGTGGTACTTCCACAGATTCCACACATGCCCTTAGGTTTGGGCAGCTGCTGGTGGATGCCCTGGTCTTTGCAGACTCTGAGCTGTGACTTTCCTGGAGGCCCTGGAACCTCAGGAGATGGAGCCCTGTCTTCCCTGGGTGGCTCCTCTGGCGCCTCTGCTCTCTTGGAGCAGACAGCTGGCTTGAGTTTCCTGGGTGCTACAGTCCTCCACTCAATATTAGTTTCAGAAAGAAAAGCCGATGGTTGATATTTTCCTTTCTGCCTCAGTGCACAGGGAACATTACAGAAAGGTCAGGCTGGCACTTGGCTAAAAGCCTGAGCCTGAAAGGGCTGTACTATTTTGGTCCCATCTCTCCAGTGGAGCTGGCAAGTACAGAGCAGTAGTGAGGGGGCTGAATTACCTTGAACTCAGAGCCAAGTGCCTTCCACCACCCCTCTTCCTTCTCACCATGTTTATAACCTATCCCCTTTTGTCTTTATGTGATGACCCAATTACATTACTCATTCCCCTAAGGGAGATCCTGGAAGAAAGACTATGATTAATAACAGCTGTTTGCACCCAGTCAGGGATGACTGTGCCCCTCACTGCTCTGCCTAGGCCAGTGGTCAGCAAACGGTGGCTCGATAGCCACATGTGGCTCTTTGGCCCCTTGAATGTGGCTCTTGCACAAAATACCACATGCGGGCGTGCACACAGCGTGACAAACTTCATGGCCCATGAGCAGAAGTCGGTTTTCGGCTCTTAAGAGAAATTTCAATCGTTGTGCTGTTGATATTTGGCTCTGTTGACCAATGAATTTGCCGACCACTGGCCTAGGCTTACCTGGGTGAGTTCTGCAGCCTCCAGCCTCCCAATACCTTTCTCATCTCACCTTCTAACACTCTGCTTTGATTATAAAATACACATAACATAAAATATATCATTTATGTATTACTTAAACCATTTTAAAAGATACTTCTGTTTTCTTCTAAGCTTTTTTTTTTTTTTTTAATATATTTTATTGATTTTGTACAGAGAGGAAGGGAGAGAGATAGAGAGTTAGAAACATCGATGAGAGAGAGTCATCGATCAGCTGCCTCTTGCACACCCCCTACTGGAGATGTGCCCGCAACCAAGGTACATGCCCTTGACCGGAATCGAACCCGGGACCTTTCAGTCCCCAAGCCGACGCTCTATCCATTGAGCCAAACCGGTTTCGGCTGTTTTCTTCTAAGTTTTATAATTTGAGTTATTATTAGGTCATTGATCCATTTTGAACTAAGTTTTGAAGAAAGGAGTCCAACTTAATTGTTTTGCATATGGATATCCAGTTGTCCCAGCACCAGTTTTTAATGAGTTATTTTTTAAAAATCTTCATTGCTGAAAGTATTGCATCCACCCCCTCCAGCATACTCCCACCCCCTCCCCACCCCAAGCCCTATTGTCTGCATCTATGGGTTATGCTTATGTGCATACAAGGTTGATTACCTCCCACCCACACTCACTTCCCCACTTTCCCTCTGAGATTCCCCACTCTGTTCCATGCTTCCATGTCTCTGGATCCATTCTGTTCATTAGTTTATTTTGTTAAGTAGATTTCCTATTTCATGCGATACTTGTCTTTCTCTGACTGACTTATTTCACTTAGCATGATACTCTCCAGGCCCTTCCATTGCTGTCTCAAAGGGTAACAAAGGGTAAGGGATTCTTTTTTTTTTTTTTTTTTACAGCTGCATAGTATCCCATGGTATAAATTTACCACAGCTTTTTTATCCACTCATCCACTAATGGGCACTTGGGCTGTTGCCAAATCTTAGCTATTCTTTCTTATTGGTGTTTTGGGTTTCTTAGGACATATTCCTAGAAGTGGGATCACTGGGTCATATGACAGTTCCATATGAGGAAGCTCATACTGCTCTCCATAGTGGCTGCACAGTCAGCATTCCCACCAGCAGCGCACTAGGGCTTCCTTTTCTCCACATCCTCACCTGCACTGCTCGTTTGTTGATTTGTTGATGACAGCCATTCTGAAAGGTGTTAGGTGATACCTCATTGTCATTTTAATTTACATCTCTCTGATGATCTTTGAGGATTTTTTCATAGGTCTTTTGACTATCTGTATATCCACTTTGGAGAAGTGTTTAGATCCTTTGCCCATTTTTGAATTGGATCATCTGTCTTCCTTTTGTTAAGTTGTAGGAGTTCCTTATATATTTTGGATATTAACCCTTTATCAGATGTATAATTGCCAAATATGTTTTCCCATACAATGGGCCTCTTTTTGTTTTGTTGATGGTTTATTTTTTTTAAAATTTTTATTGATTTTAGAGAGGAAGGGAGAGAGAGAGAGAAAAGCATCAATAATGAGAGAGAGTCATTGATCAGCTGCCTCCTGCATGCCTCCTACTGGGGATCGAGCTGCAACCAGGGCATGTGCCCTTGAGTGGACTCGAACCCGGGATCCTTCAGTCTGCAGGCTGATGCCGTATTCTAAGCCAAACTATCTAGGACTGTTGATGGTTTCTTTTGCTGTACAGAAGCTTTTTATTTTGATGTAGTGCCATTTGTTTATTTTTTCCTTAGTTTCCTTTCCATAGGAGACATTTCCATAAACATATTGCTATGAGAGATGTCTGAGATTTTGGTGCCTATGGTTTCTTCTAGGACTTTTATAGTTTCACGTCTTTTAAGGTTTTGGTGTGGGTTTTTTTTTTGTTTGTTTGTTTTGTTTTGTTTTTTGTTTTTTTTTTACCCATTTTGAGTTTATTCTTGTATATGGTATAAGTTGGTGGTCTATCGATAGTTTCATTTTTTTTGCATATACCTACCCAATTTTCCCAACATCACTTATTAAAGAGACTGTCTTGACTCCATTGTATGCTCTTGCTGTCTTTGTCAAGTAATAATTGAGTGTAATGGCTTGGGTTGATTTCTGGGGTCTTTATTTTGTTCTATTGATCTATATGCCTCTTCTTGTGCCAGTACCAAGCTGGTGTGATTAGTGTGGCATTATAGTATAACTTGATATCTGGTATTGAGATTCCTCCAACTTTGTTCTTCTTTCTAAAGATTGCTGCAGCCATTTGGGGTCTTTTGATTCCATATAAATTTTTGGAGTATTTGTTCTACACCTGTTGGTATTTTAATAGGGATTGCATTGAATCTGTAGATTTCTTTGGGTAGTGTGGACATTTAAATGATGTTAATTCTACCAGTCCATGAACACGGAATATTCTTTCACGTGTTTATATCTTCTATCTTTTTTTTAATGTCTTATAGTTTTCCAGGAATAGGTCTTTTGCCTCCTTGGTTAAGTTTATTCCTAAGTATCTTAATTTTTTTGTTGCAATTGTAAATGGGAGTGTTTGCTTAGTTTCTTTTGCTGAGAATTTGTTATTGGTGTATAAAAAAGCCATCAATTTTTGGGTGTTGATCCTGTACCCTACTACATTGCCAAATTCATTTATTAAATCTAGTAATGTTTTTGTGGAGTCTTTAGGATTTTCTATGTACAATATCATGTCATTTGTGAATAATGGAGTTTTGCTTCCTCCTTTCCAATTTGGATGACTTTTAATTTCTTCTTCTTGTCTGATTGCTGTGGCTAGGACTTCCAGTACTATCCTATATAAATAATAAAAGGCTAATAAGCAAATCGACCAAACGGCAGAATGACTAGTTGCTATGATGTGTACTGACCGCCAGGAGGCAAACGTTTAACACAGGAGCTGCCCCCTCGTGGTCAGTGCTTTTCCACAGGGAGAGCACAGCTCAGCCAGAAGCCGGCTCACCACCTCAGAGGCAGCACTAAGGAACAGCAGGCCCGCCTTTTGGCTGAGCAGTATTCCCGGCAGGTGGACATCCACCAAAGAGTCCCAGACTGTGAGAGGGCACAGGCTGGGCGGAGGGATATCTCCCCCCCCCCCCCCTCCCCCCAATCTAGTGTTGAATGAGTGGTGAAAGCAGACATCCCTTAGGGGAATTGTTTTTAGTTTTTGCCCAATGAGTATGATATTCACTGTAGGTTTGTCATAGTAGTCCTTCATCATGTTGAGCTCTGCTTCCTCTACATCCACTTTGCTGAGAGTTTTTATAAAAAAATGGGTGTTGGATTTTGTTGAATGCCTTTTCTGAGTCTATTGATATGATCATATGATTTTTGTCTTTCAGTTTGTTTATGTGATGTATCACATTTATTGGTTTGCTAATATTGTACCAGCCTTGCTTCACTGGAATAAATCCTACTTGGTCATGGTGTATGATCTTTTTAATATATTGCTGGATGCAATTTACTAATATTTTGTTGAGGATTTTAGCATTTATGTTCATCAGGGATATTGGCCTATAATTTTCTTTCTTTATAGTGTCTTTATCCAGTTTTGGGATTAAGGTAATGCTGGCCTCATAAAAAGAACTTGGAAGTGTTCCTTCCTCTTGGATTTTTTGGAATAGCTTGAGGAATATAGGTGTTAGTTCTTTGAATGTTTGGTAAAATTTCCCTGTGAAGCCATCTGGACCTGGGTTTTTTGTTTGCTGGGAGTTTTTTAAATTATTGCTTCTATTTCAATTGTTACTGGCCTATTCATGTTTTCTGATTTTTCCTGATTCGGTTTTGGGAGACTGTATTATTTTTATTTTTTTTTAGAAATTTTTCCATTTCATCCACATTGTCCAGCTTGGTGGCATATAGTTGTTCATAGTTTTTTCTTACAATCCTTTGTA